AGAGAGAGAGAGAGAGAGAGAGAGAGAGAGAGAGAGAGAGAGAGAGTGTGTGTGTGTGTGTGTGTGTGTGCGTCAATGTGTGAAATGAAACTTCCCCAGTGCATAGTTATACCCGACGTTTACTTATCTATCTCACCTTTATATATATATATATATATATATATATATATATATATATATAAATACAATTCCATCAATAAGAACTATTCTTCAAACACATCAAATCCTTTAAAAGGACGAAACGGCGTTCCATAGTATTTTCCCGCTTTGTTATTAATTTGCCTAAAATATATATGGGTGTGTATTTGTATGTGTGTCTATAAATTTCCATCGAAGTGAAATATAATGGCCTAAATCAAGAGCGCTTCATTGCAATGTAATTTTTAACATGCTGGTTTAGCAAATCATTCGAGGTTCTACCACATAAGGCGACTCATGTTTATGGAGGTGTGTTACCTTTAAATTATAAATTATGCTTAAATAGATAACTTTTCATCCATGAAGCGAAAATCTTAAGTCGGTCAATAATATAAGTCACTTGAACTTATATATATATATATATATATATATATATATATATATATATATATATATATATATATAAAGATGATAAAATATAGTTTGAAGATTGATGCTATATTTATGTGCTAAAGTGCTCAATATCACGGATAGAGCATATGTAAATGTCAAAGATCTCTTTTAAATTTACACACACACACACATAAATATATATATATATGTCTGTGTGGGTGTTTTTGTGTGTGTGTGTGAACCGTTTATTATATTGATTGACCGATCGACATATACACTCATCTATACACACCCTTGTTTGCTTAGTATCAAATAATGGCGCCATAGTTGTTGTCAATGTTATCTTCAAGGAGGAACAGTTCGACACTTTGAGAAAATATTTGAAGATAAAAGTTATTTACAAACAAAATAAATCAGGCGTTTTGCGTGACATTTTTTAAATCTCTCTTTCCACTTCGCTCCCTTTTTCTCTCTCTCTTTCTCTCATACATACCATACATACATATATATATATATATATATATATATATATATATATATATATTTATAAAGAGAAACGAAAACTATTTTTTACGAATGCGATTCCTTTGTTGTGATTTGTGATTGCATTTTAAAGAAATATTTTACTTTGTTTATATTATCTTTTTCACAGGTATATTTTTATTTATATCTACATTTTTACACACACATACATTTATATATACAGGTATATATGTTTATTTGCAGGTTCAAATTGTGTTTTTATATGCTCACTCAACTTTGTATATATATATGCATACATATTATATATATATATTATATATGTATATTATATATTATATATATATATATATATATATATATATATATATATATATTAAAATGATAGGAAACAAAATGAGATCTTAGCAGTTATATTTATTTTAAAAAGTGATCGATAAAGCAATAGAGTATAATATTATAATTGTTTTTTTTTTCATATATAATTATCGCAGTTTTGTAACATGGAGATTTCGGTGTTTTGATGATTATATATTTTATAAAAATTATTATAATATATATATATGATAAAGTGGAAAAGTATTCGTTTGTCATACCTCTTCCCTCCAAAACTGTTCTTGATACATCATTATATATATATATATATATATATATATATATATATATATATATATATATATATATATATATATATATGGAATTGTTATGCATTTAGATGTTAATAGGCTTAAATTTGAAGGAGGGAAAGCTTTTTACACACACATGTATACTCACACATACGCACGCACAATCACACGCGTACACACACATACACACGCATATATATAACTACTGTCGACTTAGTCATATTCACTTTCGTGCCAATACCTTTGGAAAAGGTATGAATTCATCTGTGGGTTAAATTGTACCACAAACTAGACTTTCTCGCAGTATTTGGCAACCAGTTTAGGAGAAGAAAAATTATGGGTACTTCTATGCACCAGATCTCTGTATTCGGTTCTTTCAAAATGCGTGGTTGATCTGCACTATAATCAAATAATTTGCGCGTGTCGTCTGACTGTTCAGTTCCAAGAAAACTGTCGGAACCTCGTACATAGAAGACAGCACAAGAGTTCCTCACATACATAAATAGAAGGCTATGTCTCTTGAAGATGCAGAGCATCATTGCTCTCCACAGAATTATATTCTTTTTTTTTTTCTTTTCTGGGAATTGCCATGATATACTGGGAAAAATAGTGGAGTGGTTTCCCGTTGCCTTCTTCACGGCTTTAAATTCAAAGCAGTTCTTCTTGACTAGCTTCTCTAAAGATTTCAGTCTACCATGATGTTTATCCCGTAGTTTAGGGGGTGGAAGAAATAGATTTACGTTTTTCATCTTTCATTAGTGCGATGTGAAAGTGAAAGTGAAAGTGGAAGCAAACACGCTAAACCGAAAGTTAGACTAGAATACATAGTTTATACTAAATTAAAAGCCCTAGGCCGAGTCGCTATCAGGAGTGAACTTCTCTTGCAACATCAAATAACCTTCATCTGACCTAGCATGTGAGTTCTTAAATACACTTTTTTTTTCACATTTATTTTACTGTGTTCTATTTCGGAGTCAGTCTTTTCACTTCCAAAATTTGTAAACATCTTGGAGTGGTCGACCATTGACAAAATAGCACACTTTCAATCGGTGTCATCAATACAAAGGTGTTAACTCTTGTACAGTGCGTCATGGCTAAGACGATAACCTACATCCGACAGCAAGGCCTCTGATCATAAGATTTTGAGGAGCGTGGAACCACCTCTTAATTGCTGGTGTTCCCAGGTACACCCTGATGCTGGGTGGTAGGACCTGTTACGGTCCCAGCTATGGGCAAATAGTTAACCGCCCAAATTGGGTTCGAAACTCTATGAAAGTGTAAAAATAGGTTTTAATACCAGCAATGCTTTTTTGGAAATATTTTTACCAGTAAAAAATTACCAGCAATAAAAATCTCGTCGGCATTAAATAACCCATTGAGGTTGATAAACCGTAAAACAAACCATACCAAACCAAATCTAGTACGGTGAAAATGTTACTGATATTACAGCAAAATATACAAATACACACACATATATATGCGTTTATACCAACGGCTTCCCATACTTCATACTTCTCCAATTCACTCACGTGTGGTCATGTGTGACGTCATGAGATGCGGTGCGATTTTCGCTTCTAGCGTCTTATATGCACGGGTTTATTGTTGCTTAGAAATCATCTATGTAAACAATGACAGACTATCATCACTGTCTTGTCCGTATATTGCTTATTATGTTGTAATTGACATCTTTGATAATGGCTTATGTAAACCGAAAGCTTAGATTGTATTAAATAAAAATATGGATCAATATTGTGAATTTCTTTCTTCGTTCAACGATAATGTTGTTGAGCTTGTCGGATGTTACGAAGAAAATTTACATAAAATAAATAGACAACACTTGTCTATGTTATTTAATGAAACGTGTATGAATGAAAAGATGCTGCCTAAGTACTCACAATATATATTTATATATATATATTTACACATTTCTTATTCAATAGATTTATCTTAACACAGAAGTGCGGATCAGTGTCTGAATCTTAAGATTGTGATTCTACCCTTTATTCATCTGTTTGATCCTAATGTTATATTTCTTGATATTGAGCACTGTAAATTCTGCTCTCCTTAAACGTGTTATCCTCCTGTAATTTACTAGTTAACGGATTTTGGCCGGCGTAAACAATCTTTGTTATATATATATATATATAGATAGATAGATAGATAGATAGATAGATAGATAGATAGATAGAGTAAGTGCGACAGAGAAAGAGAGACAATTTATATATTGCACTTTTAGGAATAAATATAGCATACTTCAAAACTGTATTTTTTATTATATATATAAGGAATACTCGACTTACGTCAGAGATCCGTTCCTACTGCGCGACGTAACCTGATTTACGACGTAGGTCGGAACTCACCTACATAAGTTAAGCACCCATGAGTCTACCTTACGCTTGAGTGCCATAATGAAGGGCAAAAAGTTCCCAGAAAACGGCGCCAACAAGAGATAGCGAATGTCGCAAAATCCAATATGGCGGACAGCTGGTGAAGAAACAATGCAGCCATATAGCGCCGCACGACGACGTTTTATATGAAGAGAGATAGCGCCGTAACCACGAAACGCCGTACGTCGGGTCCGACTTAACACAAGGACCTTCCGTGTGTATATATATATATATATATATATATATATATATATAATTTTTACATACGGACAAAAATAACTTACTCACTTACAGATGCATTCTTGTTTCGATGCCGCTGCATCTCGGCTGGTGACCCGCATCGAAACAAGAATATATACATATATTTATATATATATATATATATGTGTGTGTGTGTATGTGTGTATGTGTGTGTGTGTGTGTTATACAAATCTATTTAAAAAACAAAAAATCATAAATGAATTATACATGTGTTTGAGGGTGTGTGTGTGTTCTGGGGTGATCAGTTTATTACGTACTAAAAATATAACGCTAATACCCAACTTTCTTACCAGTAGAATTGTATACTATTATTACCTTACTAGTACATTAACAAAATGAATGCATATATGAAAATGGTATTTTGTTAAGCCCTTATTATTTTTTCAAACCAGGGTCTTCAAGTATATTTTGCCAGTTAGTGTATTAACAAGCTGTAATTAAAGACGGTTCATTTTATTACTTAATATCATTAAAAATCAACCCCACACTTTATGTCTAGTGTATTTTATTGGTTTATTCCATGCCGTCATTTTTGATGACATATATAAATTTGATATTTTGTCCTCACTTTTCGTATATGATTATTTCAATATAATTTTTGGAAATTGGGTTAGTGATATGTCGGGGATCTGTCCATTACTTGATAACAATAAAAAAAACAAACCCTCATTTTATATCTAATAGTATTCTTATGTTAAAACGAGCTTCGTGAGGCTTACGGTAATATCGCGTTGAAATATCGGTTCCCGCACGATCTCCGAAGTTAAGAAACATCGAGCTTGGTCAGTACCTAGATGAGTGACCGCTAGGGAATATCAGATTCTGTAACCTTTGATGTGCGGGTGGTGTAATGAATAATGGCTCGGAATTGTTAATTGGAGAGCCGAGTTCGTTATATTTACTTGTGCGTAAAATTTACGAATCCATCTCTTCTCCCCCAGCTATGGGTTAATTAGCAAGACTTGTATCACTAAATTATTATTATCTCCCCACCAAAAGCAATTCTTACAATCTAAGAAATATTTTTCTGGCTTATCAACCTATTGCAGGTTGAATAAAAAGAAAACGAATCAGTCAAGCAATAGTTTTACGATGCTGTTTATAAATGACGACATATCTTGTTAGGTCCTTGTTACGCTGGGGCCATTACCTGGCGTCTGATGCGTCCCCAAAATAGAAAGTGCCCATGGGGCCTGCGCAGTTTTTCCACTGTGTTGACGTTAAACCCGCTTTAAACTGACCTTGTGTCACATTCGATAGCGACGTAGGCGCGCTGAAAAATTCATCTATTAAATGTTTTATACGTGAGTCTTTAAATATATTTTTTTTGCCAGTTATCACATTATGTAGTAAATAGAGGGATCAGTTTCTTACTTAATAATAATATAAAACTGATCCCCCATTTTATATAGTAGGATTTTAATATTAATAATAGCAGTTTACCCATTCCGTCAAAAGTATATTTTGTTAAGTCCTTACTATTCTAAGAAGCTTTTACACGTAAGAAATTGTAGTAATTCTGGGGGGGGGGACAGTTTATTACTTACAAACAATTTTACAAAGCAACCCCTCACTTTATGTCCATTAGTCTCTTAATGCTAATCATAAACCGTTGTGTATTTTGCTTTTCTTACTAGTGGCACGATTTTTACATGAGAGTTTTTTTGTTTTGTTTTTTAGTAATTCGGGGGATCAGTTTATTACTTAATAAGAACAGAAAACAAATCCCCCACTTTAAATCCAGTAAAATTTTAATCATAATCTTATTTACCTACACAATCGTAAATGGTTGTGTATTTGGGTTTTTATAATAGGTTGCCATTTTCTTGTCTTTTATTACTCTGGTTCTTTTAAGGAATCGTTTTTTTTTTTTGTTTTTTTTTTTTTTTTTTTTTTTCAATTTTCGGCTTGGTAAATAAATTTGAAAAGCCCGCTATATATTTTTATAGTAAAGAAACTACCACCTGGCATCGCCAGTGAAAAGGAGATCACCCGAGTACCGCAAACAGAAAAAGAAATATACAAAGACACGTGGCGTCTTCAATGAATTCTTTCTTGTATGAAATTCTTTATTGATAAAATATAGATCAATGATAATCTATGAAAGTGTTGATTTTAACGGGAAAGCTTATATAAATAATTCTTACGAGTAAACACTAACAAACGCACCCACACACGTATATCTATCAGTCTGTCTCTCGTATCTCTCTCTCTCTCTCTATATATATATATATATCTAAAGACATTTTTATGCTTATACATTCTTTTTATAGATACAAATATTTAAGTAAATGCTCTGTTTATAATAAACAGTATTAACATTTACCAGCTTGAATGTCCGAGAAATTTTCATAGAAAATATTCGTCCTCCGATAGGAATCGAACCTGTATCCTACAGGGAACCGTCATATAGCCTGACGTACTTTAACCGTTTCGGCTACAGAGGAGCGTTCGGTCAGCAAGGTCAATTTTACTGTCTTTAACTGTGGCCGAAACGGTTAAGGCACGTCAGGCTATATGACGGTTCCGTATAGGATACAGGTTCGAATCCTGTCGGAGGACGATTATTTTCTATGAGAATTTCTCATACATTCAGACCGGTAAATGTTGTTGAATACTGTTTATTATAAAACAGAGCATTTACTTAAATATTTGTATCTATAAAAAGAATGTATAAACATAAAAATGTCTTTAAATAATTGTCGGACTTTGTCCATTTCATAATGTGTGACGTCATATATATATATATATATATATATAGTTTTCAAAGTCGCGTGAAACTGGCAATTACCATGCAGTGTTAAATCCGCAGTCTACATAGCTATAAATGATCTATCTCCGATACTGAACACTCTTCTACACACACACACATGTATATATATACATGTGTGTGTATGTATTCGCGGCCATTTAATAAAATCGTTATATATATATGGGATTAATACAAATTAAATTTGTCACTTAGCTGATTGATAATATATTCAGCACCACGACTCCAGAGTTTCGTAGACGATCTTTTTTGTCATTGTTCAATCCACTCTTCAGAAGGTTTCATCAATTGCCTGCCTTTTTTAAGTAAGTTTGATGTAATTCCTTTATACGCTACTTATTGATAATAGGCTGATTCATTTCATCTATGTGTGTGTGTGTGTGTACGTGCGTGTGTGTGTGCGTGCGTGTATCTACCAAAGGTCGTTGTTATTTCTATATATCTGAACAGAAACAAAAGGAAATCATATCTGGGCTAAAGCTTTTCCTCCTCTGAGCAAGTGTGAGGAATTTATTTTGCAACAAGTATTTATGAACAGAAGTGAACACACACACATATACATGTGTATGTGTGTGAGTATATGAGCGTGTGTTTATGCGTGCGTGTGTGTGTGTGTAACAATCTGCAAATAAACGGAGCTTGCTAAAAGGTCTGCTGAGATTTGAACGTGAAAAATCCTTGAAACTCAGATATTGAAATAAGATAAATCAACTATTTTATTAGTCATATTTATACACACATATGCACCCACACACGAATCATATATATATATATATATATATATATATATATATATATATATATATATAAAAACAAAGAGAGATGTGTTTGGTATGCACGATCATATTGAGATAGATAGACAGAAAATGATTAAAGATAGATAGATAGATAGATAATGATTATACTTAGATAGATAGATAGATAGATAGATAGATAGATAGATAGATAGATAGATAGATAGTGATTATACTTTGATAGATAGATAGATAGATAGATAGATAGATAATGATTATACTTAGATAGATAGATAGATAGATAGATAGATAGATAGATAGATAGATAGTGATTATACTTTGATAGATAGATAGATAGATAGATAGATAGATAGATAGATAGATAGATAGATAGATAGTGTAACATTAATCATTCTTAAACCAATCTTACCTCGATGACAATGAATGATCACTTTTTTGGGTTGATCACTGACCGAATTGTTCATATTTTCTTTCGTCTGCACATCTGACTCGACCAATTCGGTGAGAAAGCTGATGTAGCCAATGGCCAGCCTCAGGGTGTCCACCTTGGATAGCCGCTTCTCGTAGGGTAACGTCGGAATGTGTGCGCGCAGCCCTTCGAAAGCTTCATTAATACTTTGCATTCTTTTCCGTTCGCGGAGGTTGGCCGCCTGACGTTGTTGAAGCTGTTGCTGGGGACACCTCCTTTTGCGACGACGTTGTTTCCCGAGGACTCCGCTGTCCGAATCTCCAGTCGGTGACGGAGAGGACGATGTCATATAGCTCATGTGGTCATCGCTGGGAGAATAGGACGAAATGGAAAAATCTGGAAGGAAGTGTTGCGTCGGTCCGAAATCCAGGGTTTCCATAAGGAGAAGCGCCAGCTTGATGAGAAAAATAAGCCAAAACAAAAAACAAAACTGGGGTGTGTGGGTGCTGGTTTTGTCTTCTTCTTTTTTTAGGGGTGACGCTACAACTGTCTATATATATCAATATATATATATATATACATATATGTGTGTGTGTGTGTATTTTGTTTGTTGTTTATAAATAAATCTGTTTTTACACTTGTATCCAATTAATATGTTTTAATTATTCAGCTGTCATTTCTTCATTCAAAAATCTGCGAGGATTTTTTTCTTCTTCCAGGAAATCAAAATAAATAAAATATTTTTACAATTTGTCAATAACAATTTTTTTTAAATAATTGTTTATACATATATATAAATAATTTACGATTATCCAGTCTTTAAATTAATAAATAATTAAATAAATAAATAAAGTGAATGACGACCTTCTAAAAACGGATCGAATCTTCATTAAGCCCCCCGTTCGTTAGGCTCGATTCTAACTTAGTGACGAAATATTTTAGTTTCTATTTATATACGTGTCATTTGAAAGGTGGGGATAAGGACGTTGCGTGGGGAGCTTTGTCGGCCCGGACACATCTCCATGGGTGGGAACAGGTCCAAGTTCCGGAGACGACTGCGTGCATGGAGCCGGGGAGGTTCGACAACTATTAAATTGCGGACGATGCCAATCAACAAACTGACCAATCAGCTTGCGTCTAGCGGGCACATGGCTTACGCGGAGCGACGAATCAGAAAGCGGCGTGTGCCTGGCACGCTGCCGCCGACCAATCAATGAGCGGCACACTCCGATTATCTGGAAACGAATGTTGCAGGGTGTAAGATAATAATAATAATAATAATAATAATAATAATAATAATAATAATAATAATTATGATGATGATTATGCTGATTATGATGATAATGATGATACGTCAAAAAGTCGACTCTGTTATGATTCGATGACTTTTTTATTTTTTTTTTATTTTTTATTTTTATTTATTTTTATTTTTTTGGCTTCTAGGTGTGGGGATCTGATTTCGGACAAAAGAAATAAAAAATAAAGATCTAACAAAAGTACTTTTTTGAGGGTACCTAAAAATAAAAAGCAAGCACGTGGTACACGATTATATAGTAAACAGTAAACATCAATGATAATAAAATAAATGAGCTTATTTTATTTATTTATCTATTTATACAGCTTATATCCAAAACTCAATCTAAAAAAAAAAAAAAGAAAGAAAAAGAAAAAACTTAAAAATAGCCATAAATAAATAAATAAATAATCAAACAACTATTTAAAAGATAACTAATTGTAATAACCATTTTTTGTCTGGTTGATTCGATACCCAGCTAGTAGTTACGTCGAGTACGGGTGTGTGTGTAGCAGACATATTATTCGAACATGGACCAACGTAAATAAACGCCCTCTTGTTTGGGGTTGGTATAAAATACAGCAAAGGGAATCGGCGG